TTTTTTTTTTTTTTTTTGAGACAGAGTTCCTAGGTATATCCCAGGCTGGCCTGGAATTAATTTATGATCATCTTGCCTCAGTCTCCTGAGTGCTGGGATGACAGGCACTATGGTTCTTAGCTTGCCTAACTTCATCTCTAACTTTGAACTCCCCCACCCCAATACATACTTTTTAAAGATTAAAAAAAAAAAAATCACATTTTCCTCCTGAACCATTTGAAACAATTTGTTTCCTTGAAGTCTCACCAACTCTAAATCTGCTCAGTGCACATCTCCTCCAAGTAAATATATTTTCCTGCACAACCACAAAACCATCAAAATCAGCAAAGTAACATTAATGTTACTTTCATTTTTGTTCATACTGCAATAAAGTTTCACTGATAATATCCTTTACATCAGAGGGATCCAGTTCAAAAATGTACTTAGTTGTGATTTTTGGATTCTTTCAGCCAGAAGAGTGTCTTGGTCTTTCTTTGACTCTGTGATCTTGATACTGATAATTACAGGTCAATTATTTTGTGAACTGCTCTCAATCTAGGACTGTCTGTTCTTCTACATGACCAGATTGGGATTATGCAAATTTGGCAGGAATACCACAGAGGACATGCTATGTTTTTCCCAATGCACGCTATCAGGTGATAAATAATTCTGATTTGTCTTCTTATTGACTTGGATTGTTTTTGTTGTCTGTGATCACTTGAAGAAGATTGTGTCTGCCAGGTTTTTCCAGTGTAAGTGACTTTAACTTATGCAAACAAGTTACTGGAACTGCGCACACTTCTTTATTCTCATACTTGCAATTGATTTATTTATATTGGTAAAGACTCATGATGTCTGGTATTATCTCACCTGATGCTGAAACTATTCTTAATTTAGCAAATGGGAGTCCTTCACACATGGAGTCTGTGTCCTTTTGATATGTTTGCACCACTCTTCAAGTGTGTTTCTGCCACAGGATATCACAGAATAATTTCCTTATTTTTCCTGGCTGAGCCCTGGAGTGCGTCCCTTGTGCTTAGTGGTTTTACTATTTAAAAGGGAACAGTAGTTCAAAGGCAAGAAGTTGGTGCTGGTTGTGCTCATCGCTAGTGGGGTGGTAATGAGTCCAGTCCCTCCTTAGGAGAATTAAGGAAAATTATATATTTTATATTTATGTATGTACATATACATAGATATTTAGTTGTTTCCCCAATATTATAGGATTTATATTTAAATTTTCTTCTTTTCCATATTTATAACTCTTTTCCAACAGTGAAAACTATGGATAACACTGGCTTAACATACATTCATTTGAAAACTCTCTCTGCATGCAATCAATTTTTATCCCTATTATCCACTTTCCTGATTAGGTTTTGTGCCTTCCTTACGCCACTCTGGCTCTTACTACTCATACCAGCACATACCCTGCCAAGGTTTTATTCATGGTTAAGTCCAATAGGCTACCATACCTCATCTTAACTTTCCCATCTCGAAAATGCAGATTAACTACCTTGCTTTGCTAATGGCTTTAGTATGAAATTGAGCAGAATGCGGAAAGGGAAGCTCTCTTTTACAGTTTTCATTTTGGGGGGCTATCTTTCAGTGGTAATTACATTTAGTGCACATACAGGTGGAGCTACTTGCAGTAAGAATGGTGAGACTAACCATCCTTCTTACATTCCATGCTCATCAGGCATTAGATTACTCCTTCCTTCTTCCAATTTTTCTTCCTCATAAGTGACTAGGTATTTTTGCCTGAATCTGTAAAGATTTACAGATAAACTTTAACTAGAATATATCTAAATTTTGGCCATTCTGAGTCTTCCTGCATCATGCTGTGTTCTTTAAGCATAAAGACTTTTTACTTCAAGAAAAGTTCTTTTGTGTGCACTGAATTATAATTTCAAACATTTCTCTTCCTTTAAAATTTTTTTAGAACTATAATTATGTATGTTACATCGACATTACTGTCTTCTACTGCTATTTTCTTTGTAATCTTTTAGATTCTTTTCATTTTGCTGCATTTTGTTTACTATTCCTAGCGTAACCTCTAGGTCCCCTACTAAGTTTTTATAGCGTCTCCTTGTGTTCCAGTTTCATTAAGTGAATAATCCTTTTGCTTTCTTTTATTCCTGAGTTCTGCCAGCACAAAGTTCATCTCTTCCGGTTGTTGAGCAGTCTTTTCCCATGATTCTTACATTTGTATTTTGTACATGAATCACTAAAGACATCAAGGTTAATTTTTCACATGATTTGTGTCAATACTTTTTTGTATGTGCATGTGTAATTTTTTTGTTAAGCTTTGCTGCAATTTTCCACTCTTTCTTAGTAATAGTTTTTTGCATGAATGCCTGGCTACTTATTTTTAAATTACTTATTACAGAATGGAAGTTAGATTTTGCTCAATCAGCTATGTGTAGAAAGTTTGGAGTTATGGGGGAACTGCAGCCCAGATAATTTTTACAGGCTTTAAAAACAAAGGACTGCCACATTATCTGATTGTACACAGACAGACTGCTTTATCCAAATATGGCTCCTCTGTTTCTCTAAACCAAATCACATCATAAATGGTTTCTGCTTCAGCCTATTCCTCTAATTCACATAAAAAACAAGGGATTGTTTTAATACTTCAAAAATGACTCCTTCACATACATACATACATACATTTATTTATTTGAGACAGGGTCTTGCTATATAGTTCAGACTGGCCATGAATTCACTGTATAGCCCAGGCTGGCTTCAAGCTCATTGGTGATCCTCTGCCTTAGCCTTTGGAGTGCTGAGATTACAGGCGTGCATTACCACTCTTGACTCACTCACCCTTAGGAAGTACCATTTTGTCATATTCTATGTTCTACTACACTGAGATTATTGACAGCTCATGGTTTTATTCTTTCCCTCATTCCACATGGCTTCTACCAGATCTCAGCTGCTTAAGTAGCCTTTGCCTATATTTTGCTGTCTCAGTTTTGCTTAACACAAGATAGAGGTATGTGTGTAGAAGTGCGTGTGTGTTTTATTTGGCTTATTCCTTTTATGTTCTCAGGGGAGGTCAGGGGCCAGATACTGATTTACCCTTATTCCTACTTGAAAAGCTGGATTCATTATAAATAAGTATACAAATAAGAGGCTGCCTATTATACTAAGCAGTCAGCGATTATAATCAGGCTTCTATTCAGTGTACAGTGGGAATGTGGTGCCCTTAAAATAAAAGCATGCGTAGCCCACACTAGCAGATTTCTCACAAAACTCAATGAACTAGCATTCTGACTTCCTATGTTAGTTCCTTTTTGGTTAATGTTTATTTGTTTGAAAGTTATCTATTAGATAACTAACTTACCCTTATTCAGTTACTGAGCCTACAAGAATGAGTTTTATAGACTGACAGAATCTACTGCATATTAGGAAACATCAAGGAACACCGAGCATGCTACTTTGATTAGCTAAAAAAACATACGAGGTGGTTTTTTTTTTTGGCACCGGTGATCAAACTCAGGCCCTTACCCTTGAGAGGCAGGTGGCGGAACCACTGAGTCAAATCCCTAGCCCCTCACACTAGGTTTTGTTGCAAGAATAAATTCTACTTCAAGTATAATAAATAGTTACTAAATTACACAAGGTTTCATTTAACTTCTAAATAACAGAATGTTTCATTTTATTTTTTTATGCCTAGTGTTCCATTTCTGAAATGCATACAATGGAACGTATTTTTTTCTTCAAATTCTTGTTCCTTGAATTTTTCTAGTTAACATATACTAATTTCATGCAAAAAACTTAAAAAATTGCAGCCTTTGGGATAAATGGGTTAACTCCTAAACTACAGGGCATTTCATTTGGTTCTGTTAGTCACATCATATTTTTCCTCTTCTTGTTGTTTATGAACACCAACAAGTATGCTATATATTCTTTTGGGTGTTTAGGCTTTTTAAAATCCCCGAGTTTTCACTGTTAGGTGGTGTGTTGATGTACACTAGAGTCCTGCATATTTAATACTGCAAGACTTCAAGTTTTCCATTACTACCTTCTTCTCCATGAATCTAGTAAAACTATGTTCATGGGGCAGGGGATTTAGCTCAGTGGCCCTGCACCTGCCTCATAAGCACAAAGTCCTAAATTTGATTCCCAGTACTGAAAAAACAAAAATAAAAACAAAAGCAAAAAAAATCCATGTCCATGAAACTACCATATGGACATACAACATCCTAACTGTGCAGTCTTCTCTTTATTTTAAATAGTAATAATGACTGAGAAATGCACCTTAAACCTTGATACTAACAACATAATCTAATTCAAAAGTCAGTAAAATTTGAGTGACTTCATTTTCTTTGGCAATATCTTTATTTTTGTTTATGGTTTTTATAACTCTTTTAGATCAGTGAGCTAGTAAAATATATATTAAAGGCATGCATTTGTTTAGTGGTTAGAGTTTTTAAAAGTAGCATTTGAAAGTCAATTCAAGTAACGGTACAATGCTCAAAGGAATTGGCAGGTAAAAGTTCCTACATCTTATTAAAAACACATTTGAACTGGAAAATTAGGTTTAAGACTAACAAATCAGAGCAAAACAACAAAAAAAGAGTTACGCCTGGAAAACAAAACATTAGGAGGAGACTTTGAAAAACTAAAATAAGCACTAATCACAGAAAAAATTTTATTACCTTCAGGTCGATATTGTGCAACAATTGTTACGGCTTGGCCAGCATTTTTCAATGCAGCAGCTGCCTGCTCATGACTAGCAGCTCTGAGGTCAACGCTATTTACCTGTAAATCAAATGAAATCTTAATTTGAGAGATAGCAATCACTCTGATTTAAAATCAAATGGCTTGTTATTTGAGAAGGTACAGATTAGCTGCAATAATTTTACCTCTAAAATATACAGTACAGTACAATAAAAACTATCATTCAAAATGCTTAATGTCAAATGAATAACACCATTTTGCCCTAAGTTTTAATAGATCTATTAAGAAATGCATCTTAATTTGACAAAAGTCAACAAGTGTCATCATTCTGCATATTTCGTTTCACTAGTAATCAAGCACTGGGAGGGAAATTTATTCTTCACTTGTAGCATCAACTCATTTCCTACTACATCCTCATTCCTACAGCTCAACTCAGTTCCAATTCATTCTTCCTTTTACAACTGAAGCTACCATTTTTTGTTATAACAGAAAAAAAATTACTTAAAGACTAAGAGTTCATTCACAGAAGCGTTATAATTGAGTATAATAAACCTGAAATTTAAAAAAAACAAAAGCCAGCAGAAGTAGAATAATGCAGAATTCAGGACTTCCACTGCAAATTTTTGGACAGGAAGAACATTATGTAAATTTTATAAGAAAACCTATTTTGTTGAGAGTTAATCTAAAATCTGTTAAAGATTACATGACATATTAAAAAATTTGACAATGAAGCCAGAAATTCTTGAGATCATAAAATTTACATAAAGAACATTTTCATCGTGTAAGATCTGATGTTTTATATTATCTATAAGGACATCATTATGCAAGCAAATTAAAACACAGTCCTTGAATGAAAATTAAGACCAAAAGCCTTAACCTAAATTAGAGAACGAGAATTAAGATCTAGAAACCCTAAGCTAAACCTAAGCATAGCAATGTGGTTATTTATTGGAGAACATCTCTAGCTGAAGAAGGTAATTAAAAACTCAAAGCAATGTATAAATTGTTCTAAATCTAAAGGAAGATAAACTTTTACAGATTATTGAAGAAAACAACTTTTTATGAATTATTTCTATGGATCAGATTCTTTTGTTACAGAAAAGATTTGAAAACTCCTATACAGATTTAAAAGTACATAATTTGTTTAACAAGATTAGACATGAAGTACTTTCCAAAGTATTTAACATTTCAAAGGAAGTATGATACACTATCAAGGATATTTTAGAACAAATGCCTGTGGTGAAAGACATATTTATGGTTAAAAAAAAAATCAACATAAAAATGGAGAAATGCTTCATGTACTTGAAAATCCTTTTTTTTTTTTTTTTTTTTTTTTTTTTTTTGGGTACCAGTGATCGAACTCAGGTCCTTGCGCTTGCAAGGCAGGCCACCGAACCGCTGAGCTAAATCCCCGGCCCTGAATATCCACTTTTTAAAAGTGTACGTTTTAGTAGTTTTTACTATATTTACAATTATCCCATTTAATTACAAAATACTTTCAATATTTTCACTCAAAAAAGAAATTCTATACTCAGCACCCCCACCTTTGCCCTGAAAACTTCTCACTAGATTTGGCTACTCTGAATATTTCAAATCAGTGAATGAGACACTATAATATGTGACTATTTCTGCTTGGCTTCTTACAAGTTTTCAAGGCTCATCCTCAGAGCACTTATCAGCACTTCATTACTAATTATGGTTCAATAATATGCTCCTGTATAGGTTATAATGCTTTATTTATCTACCTCCTTAAATGTACTTCGAAGTATTTTATTCTTTTGGATACTATTATAAATAGAATTATTTTCTCTTTCCTTACTCCCTTACTCCATCCTTTCCTTTCATCTTTCTTTGTGATGCTGGTGATTGAACCCCTGGCCTTCTGCATGCTAGGCAAGTACTCTATTACTGAACTGCCCCAGGCCCTGCTTCCTTAATTTTATTTTTGGCTCATTAATAGAAATACAGCTGCTTTTTATATAGTAATCTTGTACCCTGCACTCTTGCTAAACTTGTTTATTAGCTCTAGTAGTTTTAAAATTTAATACTGTATTTTCTATATACAAGATTATGTAAACCAGTTTTCTGTTTCTTCTTCTTCGTTTTTTTGAGACAGGGTTTTACTATGCAGTACAGGCTGGCCTTCAACTCACTATGTAGTGGAGGCTGGCTTCAAACTTGCAGTGATCCTCCTGCCTCAGCCTCCAGAGTGCTAGGATTACAGGTGTGTGCCACCATGCCAAGCTTTTGTCTTCTTCTTAACTCTGGAAGACTTTTTACTATGCTTCTTTTACTTGCTCAATTGCTCAAGCTAAAATCTCCAGTATAATGCTGAACACAAATGGGAAAAGTACAGCTACCTTGTCTTATTCCTGATTTTAGAGGAAAAGCTTTCAGCTTTTCACCTGTCACCTATCACTTTTTCAGAGAAACAAGGTAGTTTCATCAGCCTGATAAAGGGTATCTCTAATTTGTTATTTCTCTTTTTAAGCACAAAAAAGCAATGGTTTATGAGCACTGTTTTTTTCTATGTTATCGAGATAACCATGAGGCTTCTGTTCATTACTCCATTATGATGACTTAGTTTTTCTTATGCTGAACCAAGCATTTTCACTGCATCAACTTCTCTTGGCTAAGATGTATAATTTTCTTCATCCTGCTGGATCCACTTTATTTTGTTGAGGATTTTTATAGTTACATTTGTAAAGGATAATGATTTGTAGTTTTCTTGTTATGTCTGTACATTTAGTATAAGAATACTGTCCTCATAGAACGACGAAAATCTTCCTAACATGGCTTCCTTTCTGTAATGATTGGTGTTAATTCTTCTTTAATGTTTGACAGACTACCAGTGAAGCCATCTGGACCTGGGCTTCTCTGCTACAGGAAAGTTTTGTTAATTAATTCTCTCCTCTCTTACTTTCATGGTTGTGTTTGAATACAATGCTTTGTGTGTACTAAGCACATGCTCTACCATTGTGCTACCCTAAAGCCTTTTATTACCAAGTCAATGTTCTTACTTTTTATGGTCAGTTTTTATTTCTTGAGTCAGTTTCTTTCTAGAACTTTATGAACAATTACATAATATATAGCTATGAAATAATGTATCACATAGAAGCATATAATATTTATAAATATCCCTTGCCTTTAGTAATAATTTTTATTTTAAACTCTATTTTGATATCAGCATTAGCCACTATAGGTCATGTTTCACTTATTTTGTAGCATATATTTTCTAACTTTTTACTTTCGATCTATTTATGTTTTTGCAGATAGCATATTACTTGGACTGTTTTTAAATCTACTTTTTCAATTTTGCCTTTTTTTGGTGGGGTGGTGAAGGGGGAAATAGTGCCTCTTTATGTAGCCCAGGTTGGTCTTCAACTCACCATCCTCCTGCCTCAGCCTCCCAAATGCTAGGATTACACTATGATTGCACTACCATGCCTAGCTAATTTTTGCCTTTTAGTTGGAGCATTTAATCCATTTATGTTTAATGTAACTGACACAGAACAATATTAATTTTGCTATTTGTCATATCTTTTTTGTTCCTCTACAACTCCATTAATGTTCCTTTGTGTTAGATATTTTCTAGAATACCATTTAAATTCCCTTGTAATTTTTATTTTATTGGTACCAGGTATTGAACTTGGGACCTCGTAGTTGCAAGGCATGCAGTGGAACCACTGAGCTAAATCCCTGGCCCCTTGTAATTTTTTGATTGCATGTAGTACAATAAAGTCTTTTTAGTGGTTAGCCTGGATTAACATTAATAATTAACATATTAAAATGATTGTTTTGGAGCAATGTCAATTTAATTTCAACAGTGTATGAAAACTGGTCCTTCTACCCATTTTGTAATGTTGATATAAGCTCTATCTTATTACATAATGTGTGCCTATCCATACAGATGTACAATTATTGCTTTATTTGGTTGTTTTTAAATCAGACTAGAGAAAAAAAGGAGTTATAAATTTGAAAATACACTTAATGTTGATTTATCTTTGGTTTTGATGGTGCTGAAGATCAAACCCAGAGTTTTTTGTACATGCTAAGCAAGCACTCTACCACCAAGCCACAATCACAGCCCACTTACAAATTCAGTTACCTTTACTGACGTTTTTTATTTCTTCCTGGGGATCTGCATTATTTTCTAATGTCCTTTCATTTTAGTCTAAAGGAGTCCCTCCAGTGTTTCTTATACAGTAGGTTTACAAGACAGAAAGTTCCTTAGCTTTTATTTATTTGGAAATGCTCTGATTTCTTCTTTGTTTATAAAGGATAATTTAGCTAGACACAGAATGCTTGGTCAACAATTCTTTCAGAATTCTGAATATGTCATCTCATTGCTTCTAATCTCTACTGTTTTTTGATGAAAATACAGCTGTTAATCTTACTGAGGATTCCTTGCATGTAATAAGCCACTTTTCTTTTGCTGCTTTCTAGCTTGTTTTATTATAATGCTTTTATGGCCTGGATATCGTCAAGTTTATTCTCCAACTGGAGTTCAATGAACCTCATGGATGTGTATAATAGTGTTTTTCATCAAATTCTGGAAGTTTCTGGTCATTATTTATGCAATCTTTCTGCTTTCTCTCCTGTCCTTTAGGTACTCCTATTATGCATATATTGGTACACTGAGGGTATCCACAGGACTTTGAGACTGTTAATTATTCTTCATTCTATTTTCTTTTGTTCTTCAGCGTGGGCAATCTCAACCTGTATTTGAAGCTGCTGATCTATTTTCTTTCCACTCAAATCTGCTGTTGAGTTTGTCTGGAAATTTTCATTTCAGCTATTGTATTTTTCAACTACAGAATTACTGTTTTGGTTCTTACTCATAATTTCTCTTTATTGATAATCCTTACTTGGTGAGATATTGTTCTCATACTTTCCTTTTATTTTTAAAGCTGGTTTCCTTTAATTCTTTTGAAATATTTAAAATACTTGATTTAATGTATTTGTTTAAGTCCAAATGTCTGGATCTTCCTAGGACAATTTCTACTGATTGCTTTTCCCCTTTGGGCATAGGCCATTGCTTTCTTGTTTTTCGGTCTTCCTCACAATTTTGTGGTTGAAAA